CTTATGGTCTCAGAACCGTGTTACGGCGATCCCTCTACATTTTGCTGCTGACACTCTCCTCCACGTGTTTGGACCACAGAATATGGTGGATATCATTTTACGCTGGAGGCATCTCCTTTATCGCTGCCATCGCTACACGGAGATACCTGCAATACGCAAGCAGGAGGTAGAGGGAGGAGAGGAGAAACCGGTTGGTGCTGTCGTGGAGGCTCAAAGGGAGGATCAAGGAGATGCTGCTCCTAGTGGACAGGAGAGGAGCGCTGAGGAAGGGGAAGAAACTGCGGTCGATACAACGGAGAAGGAATCAAAGGCTGAAGGAGTGAAGACGGGAGAGAGTGTCGATTCTGAAGCGAGGAAGGAAGATGGTGGGGCTGGTACCGAGGAGGAGAAGGACAAGGACAACTCGGAACTGGTGAAGAAGGAGAATGTGCCTATGGTGGAGGCTGCTGATCCACAGGGAGATGGGGTGGAGAAGGGGAAGGAGCCGTCAGAGAGTAGCGAGGAAGTGGGGGGTAATGAGGCAGCAGTGATGGAGAAAACTGCCAAGACTGAGGAGAGCTCGTCTCTTGAGACTCCTGATTCTATGCCGAGCATGACCAGCAGCGAGACTAGGAAGGAATCTCCGAGTAGTGAGGAAGAGGGTGAAGAGGTGGTCGTGAAGAAGGAGGGTAGTCAACATAGAGAGAGCGAAAGTAAAGGGGAGGAAGAGGAAGAGGTGAGTTGTCGGATTTATGGTATTCAACTGTTTCATTAATTCTACTGTGCTTGTAGACTGAGGAGCCTCCTGGAGTAGCAACGATGATAGCACAGTCTATGATAGCTCAGAGGTTCAGCGACTACAAAGCACCCCCGCCAATGGACCCTGCTGCTGACGGGTCGTCGGGGAGGAAGTGGGATCGCTGACGATCACAGAGTGTGCAGGAAGTTCATCATCTTAGGTATGTGGCGCCTCCTAAGTTCAGAGGAGGGCAGAGGTTATTCCCATACCAATTGGAGGGGTTGAACTGGCTGATAGAATGCTGGGAACAAGGAAGGAATCCTATACTAGCAGATGAGATGGGTGAGGGAAGCGGCACTCTATGAGGGTAGATAGGAGGTGATGTATTATCACAGGTTTGGGCAAGACTATTACTACTATAGCCTTTCTGAATTACCTTTTCACAGTAGAAAGAGTGAAGGGGCCCTTCCTCGTGGTGGCGCCTCTGTCGACTCTGGGGCATTGGAAGAAGGTGGCCGACCAGTGGACGGACATGAACTGTCTATAGTGAGTAACCGTGTCGTGTTTTCCCCCTAGGGAAGATTTGCATAGCGTTGATGACGAAATGAAAACTCTGGAAAAATTCCCATTGGTTTCTGTGCACTTGTAGCGGAATTTGTATGTGAACTTGTATATATTGAAGTTTCATCCGTTTTATGTGAAGTGGCGAAATACTCTGTGAAAAGAAACCCGATATTCGCGGTGGTATGCAGTAGCCGTGAAATATACTTCTCACCAGTGTTTTTCATATCGCCGTCGTGAACTCCATTGGTGGGAAAACTCCTGTTCTCAGCGAGCAAATATCCCTACACTACTACCTAAGAGTGATTGTGCACGGCGCCTCCTCAATGTCCCTGTCCGTCTTCCTTCTCAGTTACCACGATGAGGGCGGCAGGGAAGGACGGTCGGAACTCCGGGATTCTGAATTCTACCACTTCGCGTGAGTTGTGATGATACGGGGTATAATAGCGAACAGCGATATTCCTCAGCCTCGACTATGATGTGCTCAACGGCAAGAGGTATCCAGAGCAGCCCGATCCTTGCCCACTGAGGAAGAGCACATACTTCAAGTTCAACATTCTTTTAACAAGTTATGAGCTCATTATGACGGTGAGAGCGCCTCCGCTCACATACCGCACCTCCGCTACTTCTGTTGTTGGCAGGACGAGGAGTATCTTGCGCCTATTCCATGGCAATATGTGGTTATAGATGAGGCTCATAGACTCCGTAATAGAGAAGCTAAGACTCTCCAGGTTATGGAGTCCTTATCGTGCCGGTAGGGTACTGTGCTAGCGTGGGGCTCGGATGGGGAATGTTGTCGATACACATGTCGTTGTGGATTCCGTAGTATATTTTACTGTGGTACGTAACCATTGGTTGCTAGATTGACGTGGAAGCCGATTCAGCATCATCAGCTTTCTACTACTTGTTTTTTGGGTGGAACAGTTTGAGTATTTCTAGTTTTCCGAGAAATGCTATGATGATATCGCGGATGCTCATCCTCAGTGTGTCTGTTCGTATCAGGTATACCATGCTGTTGTCTGGCACGCCACTTCAGAATAATATCGGGGAACTTTGGGCCCTGCTGCATTTCATAGAGCCTGTCAAGTTCTGTAGCAAGGAGGCATTTGAGCAGGAGTTTGGCGAGCTGAAGACGGAGAAGCAGGTAATCTATGGTGCTTGTTTTCAAGCACTTCCGAGCTCATAGTTCCAGCGGTAGAAATAGTGATAATAGCAGTAGTCGGGTTCTCAGGCAAGGCTTTCCTGTTGAACCAGAGCATATCTGCGTGTGATGATGCTATCCTTGTTAATGATGTCAGGTTGAGAGCTTACATAGATTGCTGCGGCCTCATCTACTGCGGCGGCTAAAGGAAGAAGTGGCGGATGAGTTGCCCGATTTAGAGGAGACTATCATTGACGTGGAGCTCACGAAGCTACAGAAGGCCTACTACAGGGCTATATTCGAACGGAACAAGTGATAGAGTTGTTGTTGTGTATTTTGGAATATGGTGAGTGTGTAGAACGTATCTCTCGGGAGCACAGAAGAGCGGCGGGCCGAGCCTGATCAACCTGGAGGTCCAACTTCGGAAATGCTGCAATCATCCCTTTACTATTGATGGTGTGGAGGAGCGAGAGTTGGCCATGTGTCAGAGTAAGGGCAGGCGACCTCTTTCGGTGCTGACTTTCTCTTCCTGCTATTTCAGACAAGGACCAGGAGTTCAATCGAATGATAATGGCGTCGGGGAAGATGGTGTTGTTGGACAAGCTGTTGCCTAAACTGCATGCAGAGGGCCATAAAGTGCTGCTCTTCTCGCAGTTTCTCAGCATGCTCGACCTCATACAGAGATATGCCCTTTATCGAGGATACAGTGTCGAGAGGTGGGGCTCTTTTGCTGGGCTTGGGTGGTAGTGGTGAATGCTAGGTTGGACGGTTCGGCGACTGCGAAGGCAAGGGAGGAGGCGATCGATCGCTTCAATACTCCCGAATCAAGTGCTTTCCTTTTCCTGCTCTCTACTAGAGCTGGTGAGCCGCCTTGCCTTCCCATCCTTCTGTTAAGGTATTGGTTTGCCTCAGGTGGTATTGGAATTAACCTCACTGCAGCCGATGTTGTGATTATATTTGATTCTGACTGGAATCCTCAAATGGATATACAGGTAGGCCCTTTACGTATGTGAGGGTTTGAAAAAAACGTTGGCGTATGTTAGGCAACAGCTCGAGCCCATAGGATAGGGCAGACGAAGGATGTGAAGGTGTATCGGCTGGTCACTAATAGGACCTACGAGGCGCAGATGTTTGAACGAGCTAGTCAAAAACTTGGAATCAACGAAGCGGTGGGTTGATGGGGTCTCATATTTAGGATTTATATAAGTTAGTGAGAACTGTGGGGAATAGGAAGGGCGTGAGTCGTTGCATTATAGAAGCACTGAGAAAAAAACTGGGCTTTTGAGAAAAAAGGCTCGTACGTATATGCGCTGATACTAGGGTGACTGATATGCAGTAGTTGTCTAATACGCGATGAGTAGCATTTACGGTAAGGAGAGGAGCCACGGTATTGGTAATGTGGGAATCAGGTCTTCCAGCGCGGAGCATTCGATGGCGAAGGCAAGAAGAAAGGGCACGGAGCAAGCGGCCTGTCGAAGGAAGAGATAGAGGAGTTGCTGAAAAAGGGTAGGGAAGGAATAATTAATGGATCTCATACCACACCTCTGCTTATTCGTAGGGGCTTACTATCTCCTCGAGAATAACGAGGAGTCGAAGCAGTTCGAGCAATCCAATATAGAAGATATCCTTTCGAAGAAGTCTCGTTTAGTGAAGTAATCGTGTTGGGGTCGGTCCCGATTGATGAGGGTACGACTCAGATACACTCGAGCCTCCGGTGGTGGCACTTTCTCCAAGACCTCCTTTGCCGTCACAGGTAGCGCTGAAATCGATCTGGACGACCCTGACTTCTGGTCTAAGATGTTGGGAGAAGAGGCATCTGGACAAAGTGAGTTACCGTTGTCGGGCTAGGAGTGGGATTGTTGGGGTGATGCGTTTTCACTATAGATTCGGTGGCTATATTGGCACAGAAGCTCCACGATGAGACGGCCGTCGCCTCGCCAGAGGCAAAGGCTCAGTTCATGAAGGAGATGGAGACGCAAGTTGAGGGGTATGGTGCGATGACTGATCCCGAGCAACGGGAGAAGGTAGCAAGAGTGTAGGGTACGGGGCGATGAGAGGTGGTCTCTGGTGTAGGTGGTCCAGTGTTTGGTGATGATGGCTAATATGAGAGGCTTCACGAAGGCTGAGCATAGGGAGATATCCGCCTGGTTGGTGAAGACTACAGCGGCTGAGGATGCGATCAAAGAGAGTCAGCCGAAGCCGGGCCTCTTTGGTAGGGCTATTGAGCCCCTCTCGCGTATCAGTGGATATATGTAGATACTCCTATTGATTCAGCCTCTGTGAGTGTTGCTGATAGTGACCAGGGTGGTGGAGGTGGTGGTCGGAGACTCCGCAGAACGCATTCTAGAATAGAGGGTGCCGGGGCTTACATTGAGGAGCCCGTGGGGAAGAGTGGGAGCAATTTATAGCTGTGGTATGGGTGAGTGTTGTCTATGGTAGGTATCACACCGGCATCTTCGGCGACTCGGAAGCGTCGGAAGCGGCGGACTCCAAAGTCGACGCCGTCGCAGGTGGAGAGTGCAGGCGCTGTTGAACAGAAGGATGGTGCTGAACCTAGTAACACGGCGGCTGGACTTGACTATGACAAATTTCGAGCTGATATATGAAATGGTTATTCGAAACAACGTGGAGTGAGTAATGGTTGAATAACGTTGTTTGTATTTTAGCTCCAAAAAAGAGGCGAAAATCAACGAAGTCGAAGACGCCC